GATCTTTCTACCATGGAAGTAGAGGGAGTAATCTTTGACAAACATTACAATTGCAAGCAAGATTACACACGTCATACCATCCTGTATCTTTGACAATACTGAAATAATTCCACTATCACTAGTAGAATGAATGGACAATATTTACAGAAATAAGCCAAAAATGGTACCTCGAGCACAACATGCTGTAGAAACTTGAATGGCTATACAACTTCATCTGTCTACTTAGTATGCAGAGATTTAGCTAATGCAGACAGTGGTGATGTTATATTTGAAACATTAGTAATAAATCACTGACAGTAAGATGCAAAACAGAGAAAAATGTGATTTGTGGATTTCTTGTTCGACCTAAAACTAGAGCCAGTTTTTGATCATAGCAATCCTCACAAAATCACTGAATATTCAATCATTTCATATTATATGACACAGAAACTGCAGGTCATATTTGAGCTCACTTTCCTGGTTCCCGTTTTCAAGCTTGCATCTTCAATATATATTAAAATGCCATTTTAAGGTTTTCAGCAGTGATTTAAACGTGAGACGAAATGCCAAAATGTTAGACACATAAAATAGACATATTTTTTTACTGTTACTTCCTAATGTAAACTCCATGAGCCTTAAAAGAAACAGATCTGTTACATAAACCGAATGTCATGACATGAAATTCATACAGCCCTTTTTGAGTGATGAAAACAGTCTTAGGTCTACTTTTATTATCTAATTCGACTTGTCTGTAGCTGGTAGTCAGACCTATTGTATTAAACTAGTAGGCAACTAGTACAATGCATCCACACATTCATCTGCTTCTGGCAAAAGGAAAAGCATGATATGCTGTACCATGTTCTCCTCCCTTGATGGCCACACAAAACTTTGGCATCCATACTTCTCTTTCATCATGAGTATTGGATATGATCAAGCATTCTCTGAAGGCTGGATGATTCTGGTCTTCAATATAAACCCTCTCAGTACTAGCACTATACTTAGTGCGCCAAGGTGGCTTGTGCAGATGTTGTTTTGTTGGGCACTTGTCTCCTGTTTCTGTGTGGTGATATTTTACTATTTTTCCTATCCAGATGGCGAATTCTGTGAACAATTCATTGAATTTCTACCTCTATACTGAGTGTAGATTGTTAGCACTGTTCTCTTGAAGCTGTATATTTGACTTTGAGCACAATACAGTCACAGTGATATCAGCTACACAGCTGGTGTATGTCACATCTGCATCTATCAATGTGCTGATGACCACTATAGCTGGTAGCTGGGTTGTCTAATGTCCATAATCCAGCTGGGCTCTCGCACAATGACAGGATTGAAATATATATAACTGTTTAATACTAGAAATAAACGACATTATAACAACGAAATGTTGTTTTTATTTAATTAGAAACTCAACGTTTCGCTTCAAATGGTTTAAATGATAAACTGTAATGTCAGTTTCGGTTCGTGTTTTAGTGAACGCTCCTAAAAAAAGCTGTAAAGCGAAACGTTGAATGTCTAATTAAATAAAAACAAAATTTTGATATTATAAGGTCGTTTATTTCTACTATCAATATGTCTTTTTTACACCAGTATGCATTACAGAAATTAAATAACTGACGTTTCGCTTATAACACCGTTTTAAAGGAAACGCCTTAAGTCGCATGAAGAATTTATTAAGCCTTTTAAGACTAACAAAAATAATTAAAGTTATGCTGCGCTGTACGTTCTTTTTTTCGGGATCTAGAGTTTGTTTGTTTGTAATTAAACAAAGAGCTACACAATGAGCTGTCTGTACTCCGTCCATCACGGGTATCGAAACCCGCTTTCTAGTCCGCAGACATACCGCTGCCACTAGGGGACGGACCTAGAGCAGCCGAAAGAATATCTAAAATGTTATTCAATAAGTATATTGCAGTGGTGTAAAATGCTTAAGCTGAAGAAAAAATGGGGCTTTTAAGGCCTAAAAAATATCACAAAATTATGCTGGATTGCAGATGTTTTGTTACATATTCTAGTTTTAGTCCATTACTAATTCCGAAACAGAAAGACCAATAATGTAATGTCAGAGGGCATTTCGCTCAATATAAAAGCTCACTAGTTAGGCCAGCCAAAAGTACACCTAAAATGTCATTTATGGGCAGTATATACAGACATTATTCTTTAAACTTCTTATATCCTTCCTGGATCTAATAAAAATGGATGCATAAACGCTACCTCCTAAGCTAGATCTGCAACATACGGTTTAACTGAATCCACAGAGTTTGTAGATACTAAGATGAAGTGAAAAAAACGCAGTAAGGCACATCAAGCAATGATAACAATGCCGCATGATAAATTTGAATGCAACATCCTGCTCTTATTTCGAAATACGACTCTCTTGAGATAGCCCGTTTCCTGCCGAACTTTTGTTTTGTTTGATTTAGAGTAAAGCCTGCGCACAGCAGTCCCTATTTTTGAGCTATAGACTAGAGAAGATGCAGCTAATCAACATCGCCAATTGTCAGCTGTTGTCAGACGGAATAGTGGGATTTTGTTTATTTATTTGTTGTTAAGTACAAAGCTACACAATGTGCTATCTGTGTTGTATCCATCTCGGGTATGGAAACCCGATTATTAGTGAATCTAAGTTTCAAATGGACAGCAACTGCCTGTTGTAGAAACATACAAATGACCTGACTGACCTGAAGACGAAAGGCGGAAGACTTTCGAAACGTCGTCCTCTACATTTGTAGGTTTCTACAACAGGC